GCGGGGCGTCTCATACATTATTACTGACTTAAACTAAAACCATGAAAACAAAATTTTCGTTTCAAAATAAAATAAACATTAGCTGAAATAAAACTTAAACTTATTTTAATTGAGCTAGGCAATATTTCACAGTTCCGTTTAGTTTAAGTTGAAGTACTAAAACAAGTGAAACTAAATAAAGTAAAACTAATAAATAAAAATGAATAAATACTATATATGTATAAAAATGACAACAACAAAACTACTTTTAACTGAAATTAAAGTAAAAACTGAAAATGTAACATCTAATTCAAAACATTAACACAAACTATAACAAGTTTATCAAAGATGCTAAAATAACACTTTGTGTTCAAGTCAACATGAAATCCAAACCAACCCTGTTTATTTTCCGAAAACACTTTGCTGTTTTATTGAGTACAATTCATCAGTACAAAAAAGTTTGTCTTTGTCAAACAGGCGCAACTTTTCCCTACATTTCAAACTCTATATTTTTCTCTGGTTGAATATCAGAAATATGTCACATTAGAAAAGTAAAATGGACATCATATCTGTTGTCTTTAATTTTGCAGCACAGTGATTCTTACCCTTCCAGCCGCTCCGTTCTCATCCAGACTCTGAATGATGCATCTGCTCCTGCTGTCATCCTCCTTCAGGACCAAACCCAGCCCTCCATCCTCCTTCAGAGAGAATACAACACTGAACATCCCCGGTACGGAGAGAGAAACCACATAAACACTGAGCCAGAAGAGCGCTGAAGTGTGTGTCTCACCACAGGAAGAGTTATGTGCTGGATCACGTCTAGTGTTGAGCTGGGCGTCTCAGTCTGCGGAGGAAAAAACATGTTAAACTTGATCATAACTAAAGAAATAAATGGATAAACATATGCATGAATGATTGAATGAACCAGAGGGTGACCGTTTGTTTGCTTAGCTTCAAATGCGTCCCCATAAAATCTCCTAAAACCGTAAAAAATTTACTTATTGAGATGAAGAGGAATGCTAACGGATAGCTCTATGTTTTAGAATGAATGAACAAATGATTGAATAAATTAATGAATGACCGATCTTTTTATACACATCAGGAATGCTTAATGTGTCTGTTTGTCTCACCTTGTGAAAAAGTAGTACACTTTACAATACCATAAAAAGAGTACTTGTTACGGAAATAATATACATAAGAATATATACAATATATAAAATTAATTGCATGCTAATTGTAATTAAATGAAACCGTATTACAGTTTATATTTATATTAAATGCAATTAGTTGAACTGTAGAGTGTTTTTTTTCCACTCAACTAGGACTTAAAGTAACACTTTATTTTAGGGTCTCTTAACTAGTTGCTTATTAGCACGCATATTACTATAATATTACACTCTAAAAAATGCTGGGTTAAATACAACCCAGTGCTGGGTAAAATAGGGACAAACCCAGCAATTGGGTTGTTTTGACCCAGCGGTTGGGTTACTACCCAAAAGGTTGGGTTAAACATTTAACCCAACCGCTGGGTCAAAACAGCCCAATTGCTGGGTTTGTCCCTATTTTACCCAGCACTGGGTTGTATTTAACTCAGCATTTTTTAGAGTGTAGCCATTTATTAGTACTAATTAAGCACATATTAATGCCTTATTCTACATCCCTAATTCTACCCAATACCTAAACTTAACAACTACCTTACTTACACTCTAAAAAATGCTGGGTCAAAACAACCCAATTGCTGGGTTTGTCCCTATTTTACCCAGCACTGGGTTGTATTTAACCCAGCATTTTTTAGCGTGTACTATTAATAAGCAGAAAATTAGGAATTTATTGAGGGAATTCACTTGTTAATAGTGAATAAGTGTTCCCTATTCTAAAGTGTTACCAGACTGAATATATATATATATTTTTATGTCATTTCTTAATTACTTCTATTGTCTTTGAATTATGGTTAAAGTACTGCTGAATGTACTGACAAGCATTTTTACCAATTATAATATATTTGCGATTACACATTTGTAATGAAGTCTCAGTTTATTGCATTTAAAATATATTAAGTTTAAATGTAAAATTGAATAACACACTCCAGTTAAAAAAATAATCAAGTACAGTATTTTACATGTCACATCAAAATAAGTGTACTTCTTTGAAACATGACAAAAGATGATTAAAACACAATGATTTAAAATTTACTTTAAAGTAAAACTTTTAATTTGACATTATTACAAAGGTCAATTTTCAAAAGTGTACTTAAGTAACAGTCATAAAAGTGTCTCTCTTTAAGTCACTTAAGTCAAGTCACCTTTATTTATATAGCGCTTTTAACAATACAGATTGTGTCAAAGCAACTTTACAGTATTAAATAGGAAAATAGTGTGTCAATAATGCAAAATGACAATAGTAAACACTAAATTTTCAACTTAAGTGGCCTTTTATTTAAATAATTGTATATTATCTGCATCTACAGTTTTTAAAAAAATATACTTTTAATATTTGAAGTACACTACAAGTGCACATTCAGTTCAATTAAGAGCACTTCTTTTTCACAAGGGTCTAAAGTTGACTAAAACCGATTCAGAAATGAAGTAAATAAAGTCTTTTAGAGTTAGGGTTTGGCACACAGATGTGTGTGAGTTCACCTCTGTGTGTGAGTCTGGTGAGTCCGTCTCCTTCATCGGCCCGACAGCCATCTGACTCAAAGCATCTCTGTTCCTGAAACACACACACCTCACGTGTCAGCCTGCAACAGGCTTCAAAATCTCTTCAGATCAACACCTACACACCACAAACTTCGACCTACCGGATGAAGATGATCTTGACCCTTGAAGGGGCGCTTTTAATGATGGCAGAGGCGTTCTGATGACTGCGGCCGTACAGAACCTGACCGTTTATCTGCCAAGACAACGAGATGAATCAGAAAATGGCCTGATCTGTTTAGCATGCAAAAGATGTGTGCTTAACTGTATTGAATCTGCACTTGCAGTGTACTTAAAAAAAACAAAAAACATGCAGATAATATATTAATGAACTAAAAGGCCACTTGAATGACTTTAAGAGAGAGACTTTAATGACTGTTTCTGAACACACTTAAGTACACTTTTAATGAGTGACCTTTGTTATGTCAAATTAAAAGTTTTACTCTCAAATTACAATTTTTTAAACATTATGTTTTGATAATTCTTAACACACTTAAGTACACTTTTAAAGAGTGTGCTTTGTTATACTGTCAAATTAAAGTTTTACTCTCAGAGTACATTTTAAAAATCATTGTTTTGCTAATCTTTTGTTGTGTATAAAGTATATTACTTTATATTTTAATTCACCATAAATGCTTGTCTGTACATTCAGCAGTACTTCAACCATACTTCAAAAACAATAGAAGTAATTATGTAAAGTAAATAATAGTAAATACATGAAATTATATATAAAAAAATGTACTTAAGTACCAACTTAAGTGAGTCAAAAATTATTTAATATAAACTGCATTAAAAACTGCATTTAATATTAATTGCAAATAATATGCAATTAAGTGTCTGAAAACATTACATCAGTTTACACTTAAGTATATTCTTTTAAATTACATAATAAGTACTCTTTTTTAAAGTATGCTAAAGTGTATTTCTTTTTCACAAGACTGCTGTTTTGATGTTTTAAACACACTCACCTCTAACAGTTCATCTCCCACCACGATGTGTTCGTCTCGGCCGGCGGCGCCGTTGGGATCGATTCCCACCACAAACACACTCATGCGTGAACGATCGCGGTTCCCTGCCAGACTCAAACCCAAACCTGTGCGACCCTTCTCCAACTCGATCAGGTGCAGCTCACCGGGTAAACGACCGTACCGCTCCGTTACCTTCTCTTCTCAGACACACACACACACACACACACACACACACACACCTGCAGTTAGATACTTTTACTCATAAATTACACTTGCAATCTGTAGTATTACTGCAGCATATCACTGCAGTCTAATAACAGATTTAGTTCAGTACAGTGTGAATGGCCACATACCCCTTGTGAAAAAGAAGTGCGCTTAACTGTATTGGATGTGCACTTGTAGTGTGCTTCAAATCTTAAAAGTATATTTTTAAAATTTTTTTAAAAAGCCACTTCAGTGACTGAGAGACACTTTCATGACTGTTTCTTAACACACTTACTTTTTAAGTATACTTAAGTACATTTTTAAAAAGTTTGCACTTTGTAATGATGTCAATTTAAAAGTTTTACTTTAAAGTACATTTTAATTATTATGTTTTAATAATCTTTTGTCATTTTTTAAGAAGTACACTTAAGTGTTGACTAAGAAACTAAAGCACATGTAAAGTACTTGATTATAATTTTAACTATAGTGTTATTTGATATTACATTTTGTTAATATATTTTAAATGTACTAAGTTGCAACTTCATCATTATAATTACATTTAAACACAAGACATGCACGTTTCAATAGAAATGACATTAAAGTATATTTTAGTTTATCATAAATGCTTGTCAGTACATTCAGCAGTACTTTAACCATATTTCAAAGAAAATAGAAGTAATTATGAAATTACATATAAAGATGTACTTAAGTCCTCCTTAAGTGGGTCAGAAAACACTCTAAAGTTCATCTAATTGCATTTAATATAAATTTACACTAAACACTTTTTCATTTTACTGCAGTTAACAAGCAATTAAGACTTCAAAAGCTGTATTAAGTTCACACTTAAGTATATTTGGCAGCACTTAAAGAGAGACACTTTCATGACTGTTTCTTAACACACTTAAGTACACTTTTAAAGAGTGTGCTTTGTTATACTGTCAAATTAAAGTATTATTCTAAAAGTACATTTAAAAAAAATCATTGTTTTGATAATCTTTTGTTGTGTATAAAGCATATATTATATTAAAGTATATTACTTTATCTTTTAGTTCACCATAAATGCTTGTCTGTACATTCAGCAGTACTTCAACCATACTTCAAAAACAATAGAAGTAATTATGACATTATCTATAAAAATTTACTTAAGTCCAACTTAATTTTACAGTGCCCTTGTTACACGTTACATGCACTTACAATAGTGAAAACAATATATTATGCATAATTACATGCAACTAACCCTAAACCAGACCTTCATTCTAAGCATACAGCAAGTATATGTAGTTAATTAATATTACTACAGTGTACTTCTTTTTTCACCAGTCTCTCTATGAAACTAGTCCAGTGTGAGTCAGTGTGATAGGCGCTCTCTGCTGGCTGCTGTGTGTTACAGCGAATGTGAGACTCACTCCAGCTGTATCCGTACTCATCCTCCTCTTCCTCATCAGGACCGTCGCTATGCAGAGCGAGTCTGTCGGGAATCTCAGTCAGTGTGTCCGAGTCGGTTTCCCCAACATGTGGAACGACAGGCAGCGACAGGACGCTTTTCCCCTCCTCTCGATACAGCTGCCACAGTTTTAAAAATAAAACACATTAAACAAGATATAATTTCTATCCAATTAGCACGTCATCTGTCAGCACGGCATCCTCCATTAAACCCATGAAATATGAAGCGTAATATAATCAAAATCACATTTAATCTGTTCTTCATTTCTCAGCATGAAGAACCAACAAAACAAGACATGCTGCTGTTCTGTAAAAACCTTCCAAATCATTAATTAGCCTGCTAAATTCATGTTTAATGAATGTTTTTTTTCAATGAATATCAGTTACAGTGTAAAATTGAGATTACTAAAAAATATGACATTGTTACTGTACATAAGTTTCAAATGTTGTTCCAAATTTGTATAACTTTTTTAGTAGAACAAAAAAGATGTTTAGCAGAATGTTCACGCTGCTCTTTACATTTTGGTCTGTTCTTGACACAACAATGCATTTGTGATGTATGTTATTCCTTTTTCTGAGTTTAACAGCTGGTCACTGTGTGCTTTCACTGTATGGAAAAGAGCAGCAAGAGTATTCTACTAAACATCTCCTTTTGTGTTACACAGAGTAATGCATATCATGTGGATCGTGCGATTAAAAACTATTCATACAAAAAAGCCTCAGATTTAAACCAGCTTTTCAATCATCTGATCTGCATATATCTGCACATTTATATATAATTTCTAATATTACTTAAAATAGTGCAACATTGTTACAATAAAATAATATATA